AATTACATAGCACAGATGTCTGCACTCTACTTTCCATGACCAGAGCAGGGCAGGCAGTGGAGGCCGGGAGGACTCGGGACTGGCCAGCGACATGGACGCCCGGTCTTGGGATGCTTTGCATTTTGAAACTTCCGGTTATAGAAAGTTAAAACTCCGCATGGAAAAAGGCATATTCTCCTCGAAGCAGCATCCAGGGCCATCCACAGTGCCAGCTCTTAGAAACACCGCCCCCCCACTGCCATCACCGTTATCACCACTTTGCACAAAACTGGGCTGAACTCACACAGAAACAGGGCCTGAGACAACAGGGCCGACCTGGCCTCAGCTGTATCAGTCCTAGAAAGCATTTTTCCAACTGATCCACAGGCAAACCTTCTGGGGCTGCAAGTCCCCGAAACTAAGCATACAACTTGCAGAGAAAGGCAGCTCCACACACAGCCCCATACCCACAGGGGCATGGTCCCAGGGCCTCCACCCAAGTCCCTCACACAGCAGTGCGGTGTTGGCCCAGCACCCGAGCACACCTTCCCGGGCACGAGGTCACCTCCGCCCAAATCCCAGTGCCTGACACTGGGTACACACTACGCTGCTGTGTTTGATGAAGGGTGAGAGCATCTGTGTGTGCTCCTGGGCACATGGACTACTGGCTCAGGCTCAATGGCAGCAACATCACCCTTGCAGGCAGAAGCTGAGGCTCTGGGGACATGGAGGCCCGGGTGTCGAGGATGCAGAAAGGAAAGAGGGCTGCTTTCTGAAGTTTGGAGAAGCACCACTATGTGTGTGTGGGGTCTCTCTACTGAACCCAAAACTGCCTGCCCAGGGGGCTCCATGCGCAACATGGATGCCACAGCCCAGGAGGTGGGACTGGAAGGAGGAAGAGACCCTCAGTGTGGAGAGGCAGAAGCAGAGGCTGGCGCTGAGGGATCTTCATGGGTGTGGATGTTCAAAGTACACAGTGGAGACCAGAGGCTGGGGTGGCCCCAGCGAGTGAGGGCCCAAGCACCTGCAGAGGGAGATGACCAGTGTAAGGAAAGCCCTGGGCTGTGACCAAGGGAAGGAACTGCTGGGGGGCAAGGAGGCTGCCAGGAAGCCTGTGATGCAGAACTGCAGCCTGGGACAGGTAGCAGGTCAGAGGATGTGTGCTCAAAGATGTGTGAAGCTGCTCTTGCTGTGTGGATGGAAGAAGAAGCCAGTTTCCCAGGGAACCATCCTAGGGCAGGCTCCACACTCCCCTTGTCCTGTCTCCTACACTAACAGCCACAGTGAGCCATGGTGATCCACAGTCCAGACTTGGTGGTAAACTGAGCACCTACAATCTAAGGCTGGACTCAGGAGGGTGCGTGTGGGCGCAGGGCAGAGTGGTCCCTTGGGGACCCAGGCAGCTGTCCCTAGGATGGAAGCCAAGAGGGTAAAACCAGACACAAGACAATGCCTGCTACCTAGGAAGGAAGAAAGGACTTTGCCTTCCTCTCTCTGTATCCTGGCTAAACACAGGCCATGCTGGGTCTCCAGTGCTCCTCTACTTTGAGACCAAGCAAGCTCAAAGTGGAGCTCAGTCCACATCAAAGTGTGTGGGTCCCTAGCTCGGTGCCAAGGAGCTCAGTGCTTCCAAGCACCCTTGAGTGGCCATGGGGAAGGCACCAGCAGAAATGGTTCACACAGCGGCCTCCGGGGCACCCACTCCCCTACCTTGGACACCCCGAACGTGACCCCAGCAGGGTCGCAGGCAGAGAGTGGTGAGGAGCCAGAGAGCCCCAGGATGCTGAGCACTCCCAGACAACAATGCCATGACGCCTCATCAAGAGCAGGGTGGGAGGGAATGGAAAGTCAGCACAGGAAGCCACCCGGTCAGCTTCAGGGAAAACAAAGATCGGAACGCCAGGGCCGGGCAGTCCAGAGAGAGGAAAGCAGGGCTGGAGACGATAGGGAAAGGTTTATGGACTCAAAGCCAGCTCAACAGTCTGTATTTGAGGAACACAGCTTTAAAAGAATTGTCTTTTACTCCTCAGGGGGGAAAAAAACACATCAGATTCAGGTAAGAAACCTGATGAGAAAGAATAGGAAGTACTCTTGAAATTTCTGCCCAAATTCTCATATTTTCTACTAGGAAGTCGGAATGAAAAATGTGAAGGCGATCAGAAATCATGATAATAACACGATCGCTAACACCAAAAACTGAGGTGAGCAATCTAATGTACCAAACCATTTAAGGCAACGTAGTTTACTACCCATGACTTCCTTGGGTATCTGAAAGTATCTTAAAAGGCTAAAAATACACTTTCTAAAATAATGTTTTTCTCAACCCATTAAAAGACTTCCAAGTTGGAAATAAGAAACATGAATTCAGATCACTGGCCACCATCATCCACACCTCAGGCACCATCCACCACCCTCTATGACATCACATGTAAAGTAGTATCTGCACCCTGCGGGATCAATTTATAGGTCAAAGGTTTTCCTAGGGCAAATTTACACACTCTGAAAATTTACACACTCTGCAGCCTTCTTCTAAATAAGCCATTTTACATGCTCATCTATTCAAACACACTGACATCTTAAATTTCAGGGCTTTTTAGTTCATGAGAAATGCTATTCTCTCAGAGATGTGCATCTTGGCTCTCAGGAAGATAAAAGCCAGATGCCAACACTGGCCAGCCTTTAAACAGATCTTCACATGAGATAGAGCCGCCAAAGAAGCCTCTAAATGAAGTCATATTCAACAGAAATTCCAATCAGTTGTGCTCTCAAACTTGAAAGCATTTTGTACAGAGCCACATGCAGATATTAAAGTTTTTGGGCCAGGGATTTAGCTCAGTGGTTCCGCCTCCTGCCTGAAAAGCCCAAGGACTCAAGTTTAATCTCTGGTACCAAA